CGCCCCTCCACCGCATCGACCAGCCATGTGTAGCGACCCTCTGCCGCCTCGCTCGTCAGGCCCTTCAACTTAATGGGCGCCTGCAGCTGCGCCATCGGCCCCTTCAGGTCGATGACCTCCATGACGGCCTGCACCTCATCCTCCACACCACTCTCGAAGTGCTGGAAATAGTCGCCGTCGCCGGCAAAGAAGCCCTCCCAATGTGCGGCCCCGCCAACACCATGACTGCCAGCGAGCTGACCGAATAGGTGTCGGTCGAGGGGCTCAGGGGGCCGCGGAGGGGGGCCGAGAGACAGTGGCGCTTGGTGAGCGCCGTAGCGACGCGATGGAGGGCGGCGGGTCGCTGTGGGGTGCGGGCACTGGCGGGGCGATGATGCCCTCGGCCGACTGCAGGGGCTGGATGGCCTCGTCGATGAGCACTGACAACTCAAGGTCGATCCACTGGGCGAACAGGGTGCTGATGGACGCGTCGAACAACACAAGGGCGTTCTGCCGGTTGATGTCACCATGCACCCTGCCCGCCTCGTGGATGGCCGGCAGCGCCGACAGCGCCGAAATGGTGAGTCGCCGGTACTCCTCGGGGGGCAGCTTCAGGCGGCCGAGGGTTTGGCCGATCAGGCCGACGCTCCCCTTCTCGGCCGCTCCTGCCGATGCCACCAGCCCTGCCCTAATCTTGGCGAGGTCGGCGAGGGTGACGGAGCCAGTCCAGAGCTCGTGTGCTCTGACGCGGCCAGCCGTCACCCGCAGCTCCTCGCGCTCATCGCCGCTGCCCGCCGCCGCTGCTGCTGCTGCTGCTGGTGACCGTCTCTGCCGCTGCTTCCTCGCTCGCTCCTTGAGTTTCAACAGCTTCTTGGCCGTCTCCTGGGCGCCCTTGCTCAGCGCTGCGGCTGAAGGACAACATAAAGCAAGACACAAAGACACCAACCAAACGTGTGTGGGTATGGGTGTGCTGAGGGATCAGTAAAGCTGCTCGTCTCTCACCGCTGCTGGCCGGTATGTCCTCGTCGTCGGTCTCGTCAGGCCGGCCTGGTGGCGGTGGCTTCTGCTGCAGAGTGGTGCGGGTGGCGTCGGGCAGCATCGCTGAACGGAACAAACACGGCAGCCAGGCACACAGCTCTCATGAGCCACATTTGGATGTGTCTCCCCTCCCTCCCTCTCTCCCTGTGACCAACTCACCGGCATATTTCGCTAGCACATAGAAGCCCTGGAGCTTGTAGGTCCGCCTCTTGTGGGCCTCGTCAGGCTTGCTGGCGTGCAGGAATCCCAGGGGACGGTGGCGGTGCAACTGGGCATCCATGAGGCGGATGGTACGGCTGGTGCCCTCCTCAATCGCCGCCCAGGCCACCATCGGGGGCGTCACGGCCTTCTTCTCCCTCCCCCTGACCCCCTGCAGAGCCTCAATGGCCTGCGCCTCGGCCTCCAGCCGCCTCGCCACCTCCGCCCAGCCACCTCCGGACATCATTTGGCGCACCACATGTGGCCCTGATCAGGTCGAGAATGTCGGCCTCGAGAGAGGACGAGCGGCTTGGCGTCGTTCTTCTGGAAGTACCCATTTTCTCCAAATCGAACATCCTGTCGGGCTTGGGCAGCGTGCTGACCTGCAAGCATTCACTCGGCTGATTAGTCCGGTGCGCATGTGCGTGCCTTCCCCTTGTTATGCACGTACGTCGATCTTGTTCAGTTGGCACAAGTGGGAGAAGATTCTGGGAGAGGTGCAAGCACACACCACACAACGCAGGCAGTGAACCGACCAGGCAGTCACATCGAAGAGGCGTACTTTGATATGAACGGAGTGCCGTCTTCGAGCACAGTGTTGAGATAGAACTCCTCCACCGTACGACGGGGGATGAGATTATCGGGGACGTCAACGTAGCTGCACGCACGCGCACACACAAACACGCACACGTCTGCCCGCGTGTGTGCGAGTGTCATCCCTACTGACGCCGTGCTGATGTGGGCGTCGGAGAAGTAGCTCAGGAACTTGGCTGGGCAGAACGAAGAACAAGGGAGAGTCGAGGCTCATCACGGGTTCTGCATAGTTGTGTGTCGTGTGGTGGTGCCCACCAGGGTCTACGGTGGCCGACATCAGCACCACCTTGATTTGCAGGTTGGCACGCACGAGCTGTCTCACCCTCGCCTGGCACATAACATGCACACGTGCTTGGTCATCTATCTGTGAGCCACGTGCGGTAGCTTACCATCACTATTTCGGTGTCGGCGTCGCCTTCGTGAATCTCGTCGAGAAGTGGCGAGGCCCCCGCCCTTTAGCAAATGCAGCGCAACCCCTGCGTGGCATCCATACGCATGCACGCACACACATACAAGACGCTCGTGTGCAGGCCTGCTTCCTCCCTCGCCATCCGGATGCATGTACGTGTGTGTGCGTGTATCGTGAGCGGCGGACCTTCTGTTACGAACATGATGGGTCTGTTGCATGGCATGGGCGTCCTTTGGTGGCCAATCCGATAGGTGACGTGATCCCTCACCTCTCCGCTGCCCAGCTTCACAACGCCGCACTCCTTAGCCACCCGCCTGGTAGAACCATCACACATACATACATACACACACACGCACTCTTGTGCTCTTTCTTACTCAGACACATTGGTGACAGCCAGTCGACGGGGCTGGACCGCCAGCACTCTGTCGTGGTCCTGGTTCACCAGTGTCTCAATGATGGCCACCTGTTCATTCAAGGAACCAGGCCGCACGGAACGGAAACACACACATATTGACTGGACACAGCTGAGTTTTGTGTGTGCGTACCCGTGACGATTTGCCCGAGCCCGTCCGCCCCTGCACGAGAACGCACCCGCTCTGGCTGCGTTTTGAGGTGTACTCCTGCCCACACAGAGACAGAGAGAGACCATTGCATGGATACATGCCTGCTGTATACAATTTCTGTCCTTACAGTTTCTGAACAAGGGAACGTGGAACAAGTCTCCGGGTCCAGCTAAATATAAAATGTAGGCGGCGATTGCCTCTTCCCGCCTAAAAGCGACAACAGCAGAGACACTTGAAAGGATGACAACAGCAGATCGTCATTGTCCCGTCTCACCCTCCCTCCCACGTGTGCCTTACGTGTCCGTCTGGTTGAATTCTCGTCATCGGTATCCCTGATCTCGATGCGCGTGTCTCCCTCCATGCCGAAGGGCGCCGGCTGGCTCAACCCC